GTTCAACTTTTGTGAATGGTGTAAGACAGGGGTCCAACTTTACTCTCTTGCATGTGGCTATTCAATTGTCCCAGCACCGTTTGCTGAAAAGACTATTCTTTATCCATTGACTTGTCTTGGTGTGCTTACCGAAAATCAGCTGACCACAAATGTAAGGGTTTATTTCTGGGTTCTCAATTCAACTCCACTGATCTGTATAGCTGGTGCCACACTGTTGAGGTTACTGTAGCTTTGTAGCAAGTTTGCTTTTAACTCAGGAAGTGTGAGCCTTTCAAGATTGTTTCAGCTATTCTGAGTCCCTTGAATTTCCATTTGAATTTTAGGACCCACTTGTCAATTTCTTCAGAAAAGGCAGATAAGTTTTGATAGGGATTGCAATGAATCTGTAGATCATTTTGAGGAGTACTGCCATCTTAACAGTATTAAGTTTTCTAATTCATAAATAGGGGATGTCTTTCCATCTATTTAGATCTTCTTTAATTTCTTTTTCTTTTTTTTTTTAGTACATATGCTTAAGTAACTTTTTTATTGAATTTATTGGGGTGACACTGCCTAATAAAATTAAATAGGTTTCAGGTGCACAACTCCGTAATACATCACCCATTCACTGGATTTTTTGTAACTGCCCTTTATTATGCTAAAGAAGTTCCTTTCAATTTGATTTGAGTGTTTTTATCACAAAAGGGTGTTGGATTTTGCCAAATGCTATTTCTGCTTCTATTGAGATGCTGTGTTTTTTTTCCCCTTTTTTTTATTAATATGCTGTATTATATCAAATGATTTCTGTATGTTAAACTGACCTTGCACTCCTGGGATAAATCACACTTGATCCTGGTGTATAATTCTTTTCACAGGTTGCTGGATCCAGTGTGCTAGCATTTTGTCGAGGATTTTCATGTCTATATTCGTAAAGAATACTGATCTGCAGATTTTTGTCTTTGCCTGGCTTTTGCATTAGGGTATCACTGGCCTCACAGAGTAAGTTGGAAGGTTCCCTCCTATTCTATTTGCCATAGTCATTCTTACAGGGGAGTTTCTGCACCTGCCGCTCCAGATCTGAGATGTTCGTGCCTCGTCTCTCAGCAACTCCAAATCTTGCCCATCACTTGGAGCCAGCTCAAGGGCTCCTCACTTCTGACCCTTTCCTGGCAGCTCCAGTCCAGAATAAGCTCCCCCTCCACGCCCATCAGTTCTCACTGTGGTGTGCAGCTGGCACTCGCTGTGCAGGGCTGTGGCTGTATGACCGTTCATGCTGGGTGTTAGGCAGAACCTGAAGCAGGACAGGTGGAGTCCCAGTAAGAAGGAGAGCCTCAGTCAGGCAGCGAAAAGCAGGAAGACACCTGAGCCTGGTGGCTCAGAACCAGCAGGCCCCCGCAGGGCCACTGCCGAGCCTCCTGGGGTGGCTGCTGCAGATTGGGGATGGTTAGGAAGGGACTCTTCACCGCCTGTGGAGCGGCTCAGCAACCTACCAGCAAGTCAATCTCTGGCCTGTTTCCTCACCTTTGAGATGGGGATATGAATGTCAATCAGAGTGTCTTTGTGAATATCACATGAGTTCATCTATACAAAACACATCGTATCAAGTTCAATTAAGTGGCAGCTTTAATATATGCTACAGGATATTCTCTATGAAAAAAGGGCTTGCAGTTAAAGCAACCTTGGAAATGCTCTGCACAGGTGCTACATCCTTCTTCTTGCAGCTTCCCAGGGTACCTTAGCACCGTGAAGGCTCTCAAAAGTCCTACGTAAAGGATCCTATTTACTTTGTTTTGGCCCAGAATTCCCCAAACCTATTTGCCAAAACAACCCTTTCCCCCCTTTTAAATTTAACATCCATTTAACCACTTTGGGAAATACATCATTCGTTCTATTTAATTAATAAAGGAAGTCACATTGAACTGTTAAAAACGGATCATGATTTACTGTTTTGCTTTTCCCACAGGCATGTATAATTTAAAAGCAGCAGCCTAGGAAAAATGAAGGCTTCTAATCTAGAGAAAGAATAGAATGCTTTAAAAGCCCAAAGGAAACGGGAAATTTCAGGCAGTAGGAGCAGATCAATAATGAGCTATTTTTGGCCATGGAGACATTGCTAGAATTACAGATTCTTAAGAGTTCAAATTCAGCTCCTTTAAGATCCCCCCAGCGCTGAAATTCTGGTCATCAGTCCAGAACCCCTGCTGGCACACACGTGGCCCCCCCACTGGTAGGCCACTCTGGTAATTGGGAAATTCTCCCTCACGCGGGACTGAAACCTGTCTCCTCGGGACCTCTACCCAAGATCACGCGAAGGGAATTTTCTGTTCTAGTGAGAGCTGTCTGTTTTGGGGATGGCAAATAAAATGCGCAGAAATTTTGTGAATCATTACACAATGCAAAGGAACACATCCACTGATGGAGCGGTGACCTGAAAATAAGAACTGTTGGAAACAACATCTTTGATCATCTCCATCTGTAAACAGGACAAAGAATCAGAGGTTCAGCCATACTGTAAGCAAGGAATGGAATACTTAATTGGTGGGGGGATGTGCATGGCAATTGTCAATTTCCAAGAAGAAAAGGAGAATGCATGTTTTAAATGACTTCTATATTCCTGTCTTTTTTAATTTTAAAAATATTTAAGGAGACATTTTGAAAACTCTTCATCCAAAGCTTATTCTTCTAGCTTCATTATAAAAACAAGTGTTAATGAAAATATAGTGTGTGTCTCACTAATGTGGGTTTATCAACAACAGTCAATAATAAGAACAGGTGACACCACCTATATTTTTATAGAAATGTAACTGTTTGATCCAATGTGGAATTTCCAAGGCTCTGTAAAACTTCAAACACAGAGAAAACTTCAAAGGGTAAGTGAGAAGCAAACAACTAGGTATAATTCAATAAGAAATCAGGCACTTGCCAAACCACAGAAAGAACAAGCTGCATTTTCCTAGGACAGTCCTTCTGAAGGAGAACTTTCTAGACTCCATCCCATGTTGCATTAAACAACTACTTGGTGGCATCTTGGTGCCTGTACCTCAGTCTGACACTGAGGCAAAAAGGCTCACATTCTGGCGTCGGCCTGTGGTCCAGAGAGACCCGGGTTCGGTTCCCGCTAAGGGCATGTACCTCAGTTGCAGTTTGTCCCCGGCCCTGATTGGGTTGTGCAGGTGGCAACCACTCGATGTGTCCTTTTCACATCGATGTTTCTCTCTCTCTCTCTTCCTCTCTCTCCCTCCCACTCTATCTGAACAAAAAGTGGAAAAATGTCCTTGGGTGAGGATGAAAATAAATAAATTTTTTTAAAAGGCTCACATTCCGAATTTACAGCTGGGGCAACAGAAGTGCAATGAAAAGCGATTCATACAGGACGAGGCTCAACTACGATGAGGACTGACAGCCCGGCAACCGGGTGAGCCCAGGGCTAGCTGGGTTTGCCTTCCAGTAAAATCATCTCCTTTGGTTAAATTCAAGTCTTCTGTCTAGAGACGAGGGAAACCAAACACGGGCCCGTGGAGGAGTCCGTGCTGGGACCAGCGAACACTGTGGGTGAGACGTGGAGCTCAAGTACGGCCTGTGGACTCCGTAACGTGTGCTCAGCTGCCGTGTCCGCTAGACTTTGCTTACAGACACACGCCGCCCCTGAAATTCACGAGACCATCGCAGATGACGGCACCTGTCCCTTCAACACGTGCAGGAGGACCTCGCACTGTCGATGGGCTCTTAGAAACCGCAACATGAAGCGGAACAGCACACAAAGAAACCGATTTTACTGACAGAGTTGATGTCCTTATTTCTGGTCACAGAAACATCATTAAACTTCTAAATAAAGACCCCAAGTACTTTTAACATTAAATACTAAGATAAATGTGAGCTATATATACATTTTAAAAAGATGAATAAAAATGAGTAAAATCATTCTTCTCCAACCCACTTATTCCAGTTCAGGGGGCTGCAGCCTATCCCTGCAGTTCAGGGCACAAAGCAGGACCCAACCCTGGACAGGACGCCCTTCTATCCAAGGGCCACCCTAGCCACCCCCACACTCAGACTGGGACAGGGTAGATATGCCAGCTCACCCACACATCGGTGGGAGCCCCTAGGGAAAACCCACACAGACACGGGGGGAAGGTGCAAACTTCACGCGGACAGTGGCCTGGCAGGGGATCACTTCTTTCCCTTATCAGTGTTACCGTGAAACGACGGTGAGCGGAGCATTCTTCAAGGTCCTGCTGCACCGTGCGAGGGCAACTGATGCAGTGCCGGGCATTGGTAGGAAACCTGTTTCAAGCACCTAAGAGGAGGCTAAATAAAACCTGGTCCCTGACTTCATGGAACTAGCACTCAAGTGACAGACAGCCAAGCAAATCAGTAATTTCCATACAAAGTGACAAGTGCCAGGGGAGCCAGGCACGTCACAGGCAAGGGCCAGCCATCGTATCAGGGAGCAGCCAAGGGCTTCCCAGGGGAGCTGACTCCAACTTTAATTGCCAGCACTCGGAGACAACCTTCTGACCCTGCTTCTGAGTTCTTTACACCGCCACGGCCAGATTTAGTGCCTGTGTTCGTCCTGAGAGAGGGAGGGAGAGGAAGCGAGGAACAAACACAGAGCAGACTCTGGATGCTCCTTGCAGACAGACAGGCTCTGGAATTGCCAAGGGTATGAAGGGTGACCACCCTGTGCCTGAGCAGTCCGTGTCCTTGATGTTGTAAAACCTAATCCATGACCAACCTTTGCCAAACAACCAGACACGGAAACAAGGTTTTCCTCGACCCAAGGGAACTTGTTGAGCCAACAGTATGCTGCCTGCTGCCTCCGGTGAGCGCCCCGAAATGAAGGCGCAGCGCGGGGCTCTTCCAGAAAGCAAGGCCACCTTCGTTTACCGGCCCCCAAGTGACTTCTCCGTGGGACACACCCGGGATGGAACACGCCTGTGCTTCGTTCCTGCCTCCTGTGGGGTCCCACTCCTCACCCCGCAACTCTGCCAAGGATGAAAAGGAAAGGTGCGAGCTCTCACCTCAGACTGTCCTCCAGGGTCTCCTCGTCGGAAGAGAAGGTGCCATTGCTGCCACTCTGCGGGGAGTGACTCTTCTTTCCTGACGCCGCCTCCCGGGGAAACGAAGTGTCTTTCTTTTTCCTTTTGCCAAACAACTTCTTAAAAGGCTGGAATTTGCCTCCCTTCTTCTTGTCTGTGGATTACAAGGCAAACACTCGCTGCAGTCTGACAGGGCTGCACCCTGGGGCCTAAGAGCAAATCACACTGAGCCGCCTGCCCGGGGAGCGGGGCAAAGGGCAGCCATCGCGGGGAGTGACGGCCAAGCCCCTGCCAGGACCGCAGGGCTGCCCTGTCCTCGCAAGGCCAGGCGGGGACGGGACGAGCCAGGAGCCCAGTGAGTCTTCTGCCCCCCGGTTCCCAAGGAGCACCTGGGACAACATGAAGGGGCGCCACGCTTCATGGCACAGCCACCCCTGCGCACACGCCACCTCCACACACAGACAGTGTCTGCTTTCTTTAACAAAGCAGGTGGCCCGTGCCCTTCTCCACGGAAGAAGCTGAGAAAAACACATAAGCTACACAGTTGAGAAAATTTATACATGTATATAATCTCTTCTGAGAATCCCTCTGTTTCAGCCTTTATACAAAGAAGAAAACTGCTAAACTCTTGGTATAAGTTTGCCCCCGAAGTCCCTCCATCCCCAAATATTTCTAATTTATCTCTCTTGTCTCCTTTTAAAATGACTATAAAGAGTCCCAAAGGGCTTGTTATGAATATCTTTCCATTTATTACTTCATCCAGTCAGGACCCAGGCTGACGGCCAACATTTCTTATAGATTTTTTAGGTGATACCTTTCAGTTCTGCTTCTTCAGCTACAAATTCCTCCACATCACTCCACTCCTACCTCAGCAAGGGAAGTATCAATCACCCTGCACCAGAAGCATCTTCTCAGGTCTTTCCTTTTCTCCAAGGAGTTTGAAGAATTGCTTATCCAGTGGTCAGGCAATCCTTTCCTTAAATTATTTAACCCTAACCATGCAGCACTGCTCTAGAAACTTTACAAATATTAATTCAATCCTCCACAATTCTATCAGGTAGGTATATTAACATCCCCACTTAACAGACGAGAAGCCTGAGGCAGAGAGAGAGGAAATAACTTGTCTATGTCATGGGAAACATATCTTTGAAGCGAGGGTCAGGAGCTTTGAGGGGAAAGGAAAGTTGAAAATGCACAACGTGTACAGAAAAATACTTGTACAAAACACAAAGGTAGGGGCCCCCAACTCGGTATCAGAGCCCCCAGTTCTGCTCGCCAGAGTATACAGAGATAAAAATTAGGTTAATGATGTTCAAGGTAATCAATCTCATTTTCTCTGATCTTCAGTTCCAGCTTTTCTTTCTTTTTCCATTGCTTTTTAGAGAGAGTGAAAGGAGGGAGAGAGGAGAGAGAGAAACATCGATGTGAGAGAGACACATTGATTGGCTGCCTTCGCACATGGCCTGACCAGGGCTGGGGATCAAACCTGCAACCCAGTTTTGTGCTTTTGATAGAGAATCGAACCCGAGACCCCCTGGTGCACAGGCCAGTGCTCTAACTACTGAGCACACTGACCAGGGCTTCAGTTCTGGCTTTTCTGAGAGAAAATTTGAAGGGTGGAAGAAGTGTTTTAAACCACTTTGCTTAAGCAGTGGCATGAGTCAGTGAAGAAGCAGATAAAATAATCAACAATTATAAAAAGACATACACTAGGATCCTTCGTACAGGTGCAAACACACCTTGAAACTGCAGCGGTCCCTGATACACTGCTGCATTTAATCACATTTAACAAGAAAGCAGATTTCTAACGTATGAGATGCCTCTTACACTCAAAGCTACTTTCACTGTGTATTACTTAAAAGACAATAAAGTGTGCAATACATTTGAGACGGCATGGTTAAAAATGGTAATAACAAACAAAAAAATGTGGATGGTGTGATTTCAGAATGTTTATATGCTTTCAGTGGTGACTTATTCAGGAGTATAAGCCAGAGACTTTCATGACATCTACTTTTGGTCTCCATGAGTAAAATCTCCAAAGGATAATTTTTTAAAATCACCATCTGTGGATTTTGAAGAAAATGAGGCAAGTGTTAAAAGAACTGACCTTACAGCCCTGGCCGGTTTGGCTCAGCGGTTAGAGCATCTGCCCATGGACCAGAGAGTCCCGGGTTCGGTTTCCGCTCAGGGCACATGCCTTGGTTGCAGTTTGTCCCCGGCCCCATCTCTCACATCAATGTTTCTCTCTCTCTCTTCCTCCTGCTCTATCTGAAGATAAATGCAAAAAAACGAAAACAAAAACAAAAAAACGTCCTCAGGTGAGGATTAAAAAAAAAAAAAGAACTGACCTTACATAAAACAAATCAATTAAGTATTTTAATTTTTAAAAATTTCTCTAAAGTGCTACAGGTATCATTGCATTATTATATAACTGGTCTTTGGCACTGACAGACAAAATAAGTGAATATTTTCTCTATGACTATCCAAGGCTCAAAATATGTAAAGGACACCGTTATTGTAGACAGTCATTATTAGAAATGGTCAAACAACAATTTATGCTACATTTCACTTATTTCTGAGATAAATCCTTCCTTTTCCCCTTTATATCAATTGCCTTTTTCCCCACTGCAGAAATACCAAGTCCAAATTCTCTAATAAGGAATATTCTAAAATACCATAGCAAAATTCTCAAAACATCAGTTATGACATCATTACTACCGGCCTGGGCCCATTAATCCAGCTTTTAAGCTAACTAGAGAATTGTAGATTATGTCAAAATTTATTGGTAGAAAAAAAAAATCACCATTTGCTCTAAAGTCAGGTGGATATGGTGGTGTTCAGTTGAGCTGGAACCAAGGGAGTTAACTATAATTACAGACAGATTAGTTTCTTGAACAGGTTCCTTGTATATTTAACTAACGGGTGACTTGATCAGCCAAGAAGGCTGGCGAGGTGCTTTGTACTGCCTCAGTGCCCAGAATGGTGGCAGCCACCATATAAAATAGTCACTGCATTGGTCATATTGTTGGGGAGACAGAAAGTGAATAGAACCAGGAAAGGGCTGAATACAAACCCAAGGATGGGATAAAAACAGCCTTGGGGAGGGTGCCCAGACATGCAGCCTTAGCTCGGAGAACCTGGACGGCCTGAAGCCGAGGCCTCCTTTGAGGGCTCCGGTCTGCAGAGCCGGCCCATCGGGGACTGCTTGTGACCCCGGCACTCCGGCACTGCACTGCACTTTATATGGGCAATGACTTGGCATGAGGACACACGTATTATCGTGGAAGACATGTCAAAGTCCAAATGTCAGCGAGCACATTGCTCAGAAGTACTTGAGAAAGGCTGTTTCAGCAATGCCTCCATTATTATCAGGAAGCAAAAGAACAGTAAAACCTCCCTCAACTACCCATCCAATGGCCACTCCCTCCTGCCATGAGGAACAGGGCCTCTAAGTCCAAGGGACACTGATCTCTCTCCGAAGGGGGTGTCAGAACACAGAAGCTTACAATCTGCTCCAAACACTTAGAGTTTGGTCACATCACAGTTATAAAAAGCAATTTCCCCCTTCCGCATTTTCAAAATTAATAATACATTTTCTGTCATTAATATCTTTAGATTTTAAATAAAATTTAAAAGTTTGCTTTTATGATACTGTTACTATTGACTGTGGCAATTAACTAATTTTCCTGGGCTCACTTTATGAAACGTCCCGTAACCACATTTAGGCCCACCTGCACTGACAGCAAACTGATTAAACAACATCGATAGGGACTGAAACTCTAAATCAGGGGAGGGCTATACTCTTACTCACTTGATCCCCCAATTTCATTCTCAAAGTTCAGTATAAGATCTCTCACATCAAAAAAACAAGTACCTAAATTTTATGAAACATTCGCAATTTTATGCCACAACCACCATTATAAAAACCTGAGATGTGCCTATAAATAGGCACTAAATGAACTATTTTGTGATCAATTTATGATTTGGGGCTGTATTAACAGTCTGTCTCTACAGAATGAACTGGCTAAGTGCATGGTCATCACTAGCAGCTATTTTCTTGATGGATAACACTCACTGCTGTTGTGACTATTTCTGTGCAGATGAGGCCTAAAAGATCAAAGTCATTTTAACAACGTAGCAAAGCAGAGCACAGAGCACTTCTTCGATGCTAATGTGAACTAGTCCCAAATACCACTGCCACAGAGAAGGAGCACAGGTTAGCAATGTTTCCTCCGACCTTAAGAATATTTAAGATGGCATTTTAGAATTTTACAACGCAAATTTACTTTGGTTGGGTGGTTGGTGCAGTGGGGAGAAGCAGAGAGGGGGAAGGAAAAAATGGCCTCTCTATTAAATTGTATTTTTTTTTAATTGGCTGCAGCTCCAGTTGAAGGTTAAGTATATGGGCCCCAGAGATAGAATAGTTGGCCCAAATCCTGATCCCGTCTCATACTAGCTATGAAACATCTGCTTACCAGCCTCTCTGGAAATGTACCATCTTAAGATGTAAGACTGAATTTATTGGGGAAAAGACAGTGGTGCCACATTGTCTTAATATTTCACCATTTTTATGTTGTAATTTTTCACATGAAAGAACCTATATATGTATAGATGTTGCCTTCGGGGATGATGGCAATTTTCATTCTTAAAGTACTGAAATGAATTAATTTATTTTCATCATCCAACAATTACTTCAGGGAATTTTTTTTTCATTTAAAAAAGTACTCACTATCCATCATTTCATAGATATAATTATATACTGTTCTCTAGCTGCATCATCATAATTGCTAGTTTACATAGAAGATTCTAAAAATTAAAAATCACTGGGCAAATCAGGCAAATCTGATTCATTTTCCAGTTGTCATAAGGAGGCAATTCTTACATTTTGATTTCTAAACCTAAAATAATACAAGCATTAGAATTTCTCTGCATTGGACTATTTATATGGTACGCTTTCAAATGAGAAACAGAATTTCCTATCATAGTTCATTTGGGGCACCATAAATGTTTTAGTCTGGGGTTTCTCAGGCTGGGCTCGGTGGGTCCCTGGGTCGAATGGTGAGAGGCCTGGGGTGGTCGTACCTACAGCTTTCACAAGTCAGGGATCACAGGCAGCGAAGGTGGTGCCTGGCCCATATTTGAACTCCGGGTCCT